AGTAGGTGGATGTTGAGAGAGGTAAGTAAAAGTGAAGAAAACAGAGCGCTTAAGAAACAAAAATATTTTCCAGGTCTTGAAATTAAGAGACACAGTGAAAAAATTCCAAGTCAAACCTTTTCTTGTATATAAACTGTTCTTTGCTTAGCAATGCTTCAGAATTGGGCGGATGTTCACATTCTAACGCTTTTTAAAATTTTCTCCTTCTTACATATTTCAATAACGGTGCACTTTCTCAGTTGGGTTTTCATATAATTCGGCTTTGCACATATACTGATAGAAAGAGTTCTATGCTCACTGATAAAATCCAAACTACTTTTGAAAAGCTCAAAATAGTCCGGACACATGATACCAGAACTGATGGTGAGCTACCCATTTAAGTTATGTATTAAGTCTAAATTTAATCAAGGCCACATTTTATTTATACATTTCATGCATTAAACTCATTTAATCTTTTAGTCAGATTTCATTAGAAGAAATACTACCGTGTACATCATGCAGTAGTGAAGCTAGTGTGCTTCAGGAATTTGAAAGGAGTTAGAGATCGGGAGTCTGATTTCAGCATTTCTTTTTCTTTCTCTCCCCAGTGCTAGCAGCAGGTCTGTTGTGGGGACACACAGTTTGTTTCCTAACACACTAACACAGTCAGCATGCTCTTTACAAATGTGTAAACACAGACATTCTCTGTAATCAGGGAGGTTGGTATCTTAAGGCAAGATTGTGTTTTTTTAGGAAATGCAATTTATGCTCAGGGTTGGGTTTCGTTTGCAGACTGATAACGTCTGGGGTTTGGAGAGATGATAATAGCATTGTGTCCTGCCTGCCTGCCTGCCTGGCCTCTGAAAGCTCTGACCTTCCTGGGCAGTTGTGTCTTATGATCCCAAGTTAGACGATGTCCATTCTTCCATTCTTTGAATGATGGCCAACGTAAGCGATACGAAAATCATTTAAACTTATAAAATTTGCAACATTTATAAGCCACATGGGCTACTGCAAGGAAATACAGAGAGACATGAGGAAAAATATGCAGGACACCAGGACTAACATCCATCCTCACAAGCCAGGAAATTAAAATTTATGTCTGGAACTCTGGTCTCCTTGAGGTTGAGGTTGTTGGGTGGGGAGCACGTTAGACACGATGCTTAGGCTATAATCATTTTAGTCTGCTTGAGGCACGGCCCTAATATTATAAGACAAGTTAAACATATGACAAATATTCATTCCTGTTTCAAATACAAGTTGAAATAAATCCACCCAAATACCACTTGGTATTATAAGCGTTCTCTATAAATCCATCTATCCACTTTATTCAGAAAAAAAGCTGCTGTATGTCTTTTCCATGGCAATGAAAAAAAATGTTTTCACAAGTTTAAAGAGAAGTTTCCATGCCCAAAGCATAGGTTTGCCCCAATATTGAATTCACTGGATTACCTTTTTAACTCTTCTTTCTCTCCCCCTCTCCTCATCCATTCCTTCCCTTCTTCTTCCCTTCTGAACCTTTCCTTTCCTTTTATGCCATGAAAGCAGGGAGTTGAGATCCCACCATCCCCTACACGGAGAAATGCACATCACATGAAAGAGAGCTAAGTCCCTCGGTCAGCTGATGATCTTCACGTTAAAATTAAAAAAAAAAAATCCTTGATGAATTGCGTACCCAGAACTAAAGCCTTTTCTTAGCACCAAGACTGATATCTGCCTTTTTAATTACAGGAACAGGTATGGGGAGGGAGGAACTCAGACCACAGAAACCTCAGCCTGTCTGGGCTGTGCTTTGAGCGCTGTGGCGACACCGACCAGGGTGAGAGAAACTTAAGATTATTTGCTCAGACATATTTTATAAATGACGTGTGTGTGTGTGTGTGTGTGTGTGTGTGTGTGTGTGTGTGTGTGTGTGTATGTGTGTGTGAATTAGAAGGACAGGCCGGGAGGATACTGCCTTGACCTGATTTTACAGAAGAAGATCCCTGTACCGCATTATAATAATCTAAATGTCTAGGTTTGCCTTATAGGCACAAGTCTGTGGACACACTTTATCTATTATGATTCTTCCAAGACACTTGGGAAAAACTCGTTGTTTAGAAAAAAAAAATAAACTTTCAATGTGGGCCTCCGTTTGTTCCACCTCGATTAAAAATGGAACTCAATTTCACCCAGTGGCTCTCATATCCAGACTACTTGTTTAATGACAAAGCTTCGGCCTGAGATGTAGCATCCCTGAGTACGTGTTTGTTGTTGTTCTTGTTCGTTTAAGGTTTCCAACAGAGAGCTAAAGTATTGAAAATCGGGAGCTGGAATGGAAAGTCTGACACCATTTTAGGTGCAGTCGCGCTGCCTTAACTGGGGAGGAAAATATTAGCCCCGTCTAGCTTACCTTTTCCATAAGGTGTAAAAAGCCCTTTCTACAAGGGGAGAATGTGAAAGCCGGCTCTCGGCTGATTGCTTGCATGTTATTCCTATGCACGCCCATTGTCATAAGCTGGCGCTGGGTGAACTGCTGATTCTAACCATATGCTCAAGGCAGAAAAACTTGGAAGAGTTTCCTCTAGGGTGCCCACACCATGTCCTGCTGGATCCCCAGGCTCCAGAAGAAAATGAAAACTGTGAGTTCTCCCAAGATGAGATTTCATCCAGATGGTCGTGAGTTTATATATTAAATAACGAGTTCTGGACTTTTAAAGTAGCTTGGTATTTTTTTTTCTTTTTTCTTTTTTATAAATTGTGCAGTCCATATATATTTGTCCACTGGGGGGCGCGCAAAGGCCATACTACTGAAGCCAACTCACAGGCCGGAAACTGAAAATCTAATTTAAGATACATCACTTGAGTGGATTAATTCATAACTACTGTAATTCTAATAGGATTACTAATTTATAGTGTCAAACGCCATTCAGACCTCTGCTCTGGTTTACTCTTGTGCAGCCTGCTGAAGATTTGAAAATAGTTCTACATTAGAGAACATACAGAAACTTAAAAGCAAACAGCTTTTAACTCCGTTAACTGGAATTCCAAAAAAAAAAAAAATAACTATGAAGAATAAAATTATTTTCCTCAACGCCTGTATAGATCATCAGTTAACATAATAATGTCTGCACAACAAAGTAGAATAGTTTTATTACAGCTAGGTGGTGGTGGCACACACCTTTAATCCCAGCACCTGGGAGGCAGAGGCAGGAGGATCTTTGTGAGTTCGAGGCCAGCCTGTTCTACATAGAGAGATCCAAGAAAGACGCAAAGCTACACAGAGAAACCCTGTTTTGAAAACAAAACAAAACAAAACAAAACAACAACAACAAAAGAATAATTTTATTACTTCAGCCATGCATTTAAAATACAGCATGACTCACTCTTTGCACTACAATTTAAAAGTAGAAAGATGAATTTCTGTTGGAAGGCAAATTGAGACCGTATCTAAGAGACTTTGCATCTAAGGAAATAAGCATCACTAATGTGATCTACAAGATGATGTCTTTCAGAAGTTTCATTTATCCTGAGAAATTGCGTGTGTGTGTGTGTGTGTGTGTGTGTGTGTGTGTGTGTGTGTGTGTGTGTCCAAGCAGCTCATAAAATATCTAACAATAAATTTGAGGTTTACATTTACTCTGTTTTATTTGAGATCTCTTCCAAGCTTGGAAGGCTAATTCACATCACCATTGTCTTTTGAAGTTCTGGCTTCTGCTACGTGGGGTAACTGACTTGGCGAAATCTACTATTCTCAAAGTTGTCTAACGCACCAGCCCTGATAAGAAATGGATTTACCCGGGCTGCAGAGCATTGCGATGACTTTCTTTGTATTGTTTAGCATTTTTTTCATATAATGGGATGTTGTGATTGTTTTACACCCTCTCGTTCTACACATGGAGGCTAGACTGGAACTCTAAGGTGCTTTCAGGTGGGAGAGACTTCCTTAAGACAGGGCCTTCAAGTCGACTTGCCTGGGGAGTGGAGATGTGAACCTAAGTGTGCGATCAGCAGGTCACTCTGAGTACAATGACTGGGTGCAACAGAAGGCGCTACTAGCTATTGTTGTCGTTGTGAAGACAAAATTCCCAATGTTCACGATGTATGGCTTTACAAAAACAGCTCTAATGCCGAAACTGAGAAGTAACAAATGCCGTGTCTTTTGTATTGCTTTTGTTAGTCTTCTGAGGATTTTACGTGTTGAGTACCTTATTTATAGCATTCTTTGCTCCCTCAAGTTCCTCCTGTGTCACAACTACACCCTTACTTCTTCTCAAATTCATGGCCTCTTATTATATATATATATATATATATATATATATGTATATATATATATGTGTGTGTGTATACACATGTATATGTGTGTATGTATATGCATGTGTGTGCATGTGCATATAAATGTATATGTGTGTATGTATATGTATGTGTGTGCTAGTTTATAAATACATTCTGTTAAGATCCTTTAGCATTGCTTGTGTGTATTTAGGGCTGACCTCTTGGGACTGATTAAACTATCAAGGGGTGTGCCATTGGAGAGGACTAAGTCTGCTTCCTTTGGCAACCATTAATTCCCTGTAGTTAGTTCTTCTTATAGGGTTGAAGCTTTAGAATTGCCCCTCTTTGTTGGCATGTCGATTGGTGCTGCTAGATTTGATGTCCTGTTTAGGGAGCCATGTCATTGAGATTACCTGGGTGCAGCTTCCCAGCTGTAGGAGACACTCTCTCCAAGCAGGCACCCTGGTCCTACCGCTTCTATCTTCGCCACCTTCTTTCATAATACTCCTTGAATTTAGATAAGGAAGGTCATACAGAAGGCTCAGTTGTGCTGGGGTACCCCATAGTCATTGTTCTCTGTCTTTGGATCAGCAGTGGCTTTCGGTACTAGTGCCCATCTATCGCCAAAGAAGCTTCTGAGAGGTGAGGGATGAGAGTTACACTTCTCTGTGGTGTAAGGATGAGAATCTAGAATGTAGTCAGGAATTATACCATCATAGTGAGGCAGTAGTAGTAGACTATCTTCTAGAGTACAAGGCATCCTCAAGGGCAGCAAGCATGGAAACAAAGAGGTCTTGTGAAGGCTGAGGATTATGATCCAGACAGATGGAAAAATGTTCTTGACAGAATCCCTTTTAATACCTTTCAAATTAGACAAAATAAGCTTGTTTATCAAAACTATTTGTAGAATTGTTTTGACTAACTTGAAACACGTTTTTAAGTAAGTATGGTGACAATCTTGTAGACAATCAAAATACTATGAAATTCAGTGAGTTTTAAGCTTTTTCCTCCTCATCATTTTATAATGTTTTCGTAAGATGGTAACACTTAGGGATGTAATGATATTTCTAAGTAATTAGATTAAGACAATGACATTTAACTATTTCAGTAATAATTACATATGGTAATTGGATGAGTAAATTTAAATAATATGAATAGAGTTGATTCAAAGGATAAAGTGAATATAATGCAAACTTGTTGCTAACAATGTGTAAGTCTCCCATTGTGACCATCAAAACTGTCTATTGTAGTGTATTAATTTTGAAGTTAGGAGGAATTGAATCACCCAAACCCAATAATTTTAAGTAGCTAAAATCGTTTGAAAATGAACTGTCTAATGTGGTGGCCTCTAGCCCCATTTCTTTAAATAAAACTAAAAATTTTATTCCTCTGTCACACTAGTCAATAGTCAGAGGTCAAGGGTTCGATACTGATGGATGATTAAAAGTCACCATGTTGGTGAGCTGATATATTATCAGATTGAATTGTCTAAACTCATATAAGTGTCCAGCTTTTGTCAGGTGTGGTGACACATACCTGTAATCACAGCTACTGGAAAGCCTTAGGCAGAAGGATTAAAGTGCAAAAGTTGCCATGTTGGATGGCTTAGTGACTAACAATGCTGAACACTCCACTGATTTTTTTTTTTTTTTCTTATTTGGTTTTGTTTCTTGGGTTTTCTTTGTTGTTTGTTTTCTTTTTTGAAGAAGAGAGAGGAAAAAATCATTAATTTGGATGAGTAAGGAGATGAGTAGGATCTGGGAGGAGTTGGGGTAGGGGAAAACATAATCAAATATATTGTATAAAAATATGATTTAAAAATGGGGGAAATGTCTATATTCCTTTGTGGTTACATATTCCCACCTCATCCAATGTCTCTTTGTTTTTGTAATGAAATATTCTAGAAAACAGGAATTTTCAGTGCTAGTATATTTCTCATTAATTTTCCTCTTTATGGCTACCTCAAGACCATGAAATACCTGCTCACATTTTTCTAAAACAGGATTTTTTTTTTCATGTTCCATCACAGTGTGTGGCCTAGTTGGAAATCTAATGCATGGTAGTCAACAGCATTAAGTTAGCTCAATCATTATAGTATTAAAAGAAAAAAAAGTCCTTTCTTTTTCTTCTAAGAGGAAATATGGAAATACTAAAGTTGTAAAACATATTTACTTGCAATTAATTACATTTCAGAAACTTTGTTACTTAAGCTAACTATCACTAAAGTAGAACTCATTGGATATTACACCAGCAGGTGAATGTTTTAGTGAAATAACTCATGGCTATAGTTGTGAGAGTGTATTTTTATGACTACAGTATATCCTTCAACACTCCACATTGACTTATTTGAAAATTCTTGCTTTAATGGAACAAAAATTCCTGACTTCAGTAACACTGAACCACATGTTTTCTTTTTATTTCTTCTTGGTTCTGATGTGATTTCATCTTTACTTTTCTAATAAAGAAAAATGATATGACTGACAAGGGAAAAGTTAATCAGTAAACGTCATGCTTTGTGGATTTTAGGACTTGTGTGACCTCTTGGGGGTCCTGATCTGTTTTATTGAATGTTCTTCAGATTTCTCCCTAGTTATCAAATAGTGACACTTTTTTGAGATTGTTCAACCATAGTAGAATTTAATTTGGGACCCTAATTCTGTAGTTTTGATGCCTGTCCTGGATCTCGCTCTGTATACCAGTCTGGCCTCAAACTCACAGAAATCCACCTGGTTCTGCCTCTCGAGTCCTGGGATTAAAGGCTTGCACCACCACCGCCACCTGGCATTTCTGTACTTCTTAGTTAATGCTGGCATACTCTAAATAGTGTATCTCAACCTGAGGGGCGAACAACCCTTCCACAGAGGTCATATATCAGATGCCCTGTATGTCAGATATTTACATTACAATTCATAACAATAGTTTGTCAAGTTTTCTCTCTTCAAGTGGATATAGTATTTCAGAACATATATGTTAACCTTGTCATTTGATAATATCTCTTCTGATCATTCCACATCTCCTAAGATGTCAAAAGCTGTATGCATGTTGCACTTGCGAGGCTTTGTTTTTCACTGGAGAACTGCACAGAGAAACTGGATTTCTTTCATTGTAAACACCTCAAGGAATATCTGTGCTTGTCAGCTTCCTGTTGCTGTAGCAAAATAACCAAGAAAATCAACCTAACTTGAAGAAAGATGAACTTGGGCCCATGGCTTCAGCAATCTTTTCAAGCAATTACTTCAGGGTTCTGAATCCCCGTTCCTCCTTCAAAGGCACAAAACTCCCATGACACTGAACTCCACCTCCTGATGCTTCCATCCCTTCAAGGAAGTGTGCCTGCTGGGACTACAGTTTCAACATACAGAATTGAGAGAATATTTCCCAGTCCAAAAGATAGCTGTCTATTCGGTAGTACCTGTGTCCTGGCTATGATCAGTGATGGTAGCGCCTCTTGAATTATTAATTTCAAGCACTCCTTTCCATGACTGATATTGGTGAAATTATTAAAGCCACTCCACATAGTTAAAAGGGAGATTTATTTAATGGTGTAACTTACAAATGAAGGGATAGGTAGGTGACAAGTTCTGGGGAAGATGTAGAGCAGTCCGGCGATGTTCTCTCTGGAGAACTCTCCTCCGTCTACCTCTAGCGTCCAGGGTCCAAAACAGGAAGAGAACTGCATCCTGATCTCGGGTCTTCAGGGCCCTCCCTTGGCCCCACCTTGTAGGTGTGGTAGTTACCAAGGCCTCAATGGGGGTTGGAACTTCCAGACCAAAGCTGGAATGGAATGTAGCTACCCACTACAGACTGATGCACTGCTCTATTGTGTAATATATCTTACCACTCACCATCCATTCAAAAACCATTGGACTTCATTTGAGACTACCAGTCCACTAATCATTTTAATTGCATATGGAACCCTTGCATTCTTGTCCTGCTATCAGAATCTCCACGCTCTGATACGTAATAATGACCACTCTCCATAATAAGTGCTAACTGAATTGCACCTATAATCTAAATATGTGTCCTGCATCCCCAATCGATACCTATGTTTAATTTTAATTCCCAGTTCAATAGTAGCAACAGGAGGGGCCTTTGGGGGTGGTTGCTTATGAGAGTTCTATTCTCATGAATGGGAATATGGTCCTTATGAAAGAGGCTCAAAGGAGTCCATTACCTCCTTTTTACCATGAAAAGCACTACTAGGCAGAAGATCCATTCTAGGAGGAATGGATCCTCATGTGGTTTCGACTGTTCTAGTGCTCCAATCTTGGACCTCATAGCCTACAGAACCATGGGCAATTGCTTTTATGTTATGATAAGTGGAGTCCGGTTCGTTTTCTATTCCTGTGATAAATATATTGGCCAAAAATGCAACTTGGGGATAAAAGGGTTAGTTTGGTTTATATGTCCTGGTCATAGTCTATCCTTGAAGAAATTCAGGGCAGGAATTCATGCAGGAGCCTGGAGGCATAGACTGCAGCAGAGATTGTGGAGGAGTGCTGCTTACTTGGCTGCGTGGTCTTCCTGGTTGCTCAGTTTGCTTTTTTTTTTAATGCCACTTAGTCCCACCAGCCCGCAGGTGACAGCATCTGCAGTGGACTGGGCCTTCCCATATCAAGTCAACCACTAACAAAGAAAATGTTCCACAGATTTGCCTAAATGCCAATCTGATGGAGGCATTTTTCTCAACCGAGGGCCCTCTTCCCCAGTGACTCCAGCTTATGGCAAGTCAACAAAGAAAACAAAACAAACAACAAAACAAACACAAAATCCAAATCAAACCACCACCAGCAACAACAAACAAACCAGAACAGTTACACAGTCTACACTACTATCTAACGCAGCCTGAATAGACTGATGGAGATACAGACATTGGATCCAGAGCAAGCTGCCACATTACCAATGCTGTCAATGAGGATGCTGCATAGTTTAGCATGTGGGTATTCGAGGCAACTGTGCACAGGTATAATGAGTTACACATTCTTTTAAAAAATGATCTTTGAAGCAGTTTCTAATGTAGCACAGGCTGGTCTTGAAATTGCCGTTCAACTGAGGATAGCCTTGAACTTCTAAACATGGTAGGTACATTACCAAGTGTGGTAATAAGTTTCAGACTCATAAATGGACTGACTTTAAGGATATGCAATGAAAATGATCAAGATCCTGAGATCCTTAATTTTTTTTTTTTTTACGAGAGAGCTTGGATTTTATTTTTCCTGGCACTCATATCTTAAGCTGGCAGATTTGACGTTACAGCACTCTAAGCAGAGCAAGGGGCCTTTCTGTTTGGAGGAGAGTGAACTGGGGGAAGGGGAGGAGATATTGAGCGCATAGTGAGGTAGGATGTCCTGAATGACCCTGAATGACCTAAAAAGCAGCATGGCAGGCAGATCCTTTTTTAAAAAAAAATTATTAATAAAATGTATTTATTCTATGTGTTTTTCATATCATGTATCTTGATCCCATTCATTCCCCATCCCTTAGCTGCTGCCCTCTGCTCCTGCACGCCCTGCCAAAACATCCAGTAAAAATAAATAAATAAATAAATAAATAAATAAATAAATAAATAAATAAATAAATCAGGAGAAAAAAAATGAAAATAAAATGATGAATTTAAAAAATAAAAAAGGAAAGGAATTAGAAATCTCATCATGGAAGCCACAATGTGACCCAACAAGTCTCGCCATATACTCCCTGCTCCCTATATCTCTATTTCCAAGTGTTCACTGCAGAGTCATTGGTCTGGTTCAAGGCCCCTGGTCTCCAACACCTTGGATGCTAACCCCCCCCCCATGAGGACCCTTCCTGGACATCCTGCTGGCGCCCTGGCAGGCAGATTCTAATGGCTGTGATGAAAATAGAATTACAAGATCAAGGGTTAAAAAAAAAAAGGTGATTGGTTTGAGGAGAACTATGGAGGAAAATCTCAGGAGTGCTTAATGGCGGGGGAGTAACATCTGGTTCTACATTTAAAATACCCTTGTATCATCCTGTTTTAAATTAAGTACATGGGTTCCAATGATTTTAGATGACATTTAAGGACAAGAAGGAGAAAGTTTTACTACAAAGGCGTTCTTGCTGGTGGAATGCAGGTCCTGAAAGAGGATTGTTTCAATTGAGCTAAACACCCCATAGATACTTTAATGGATTATGACTGTACAGAATTGGTGTGATCGTGATGATAGTTGCGGAGTTGAATCTGTAAGGCGTCTTTCCAGTGCTCCGTGGATTCCTTCATTGTCTTTTGTCATCTAATACTATCTCGGATGTGATTTTATTTTATTCTGGCCCTGGACAGACAGGACTTACTTACATTGTAACCTCATTTAATTCGGGGGTGGTGGTGGTATTGCCAAGACGTTCACATCTTAATGTAATTATATGCACATTTCATCTATTTGAATCAAATGAGATAATGTATATAAAAATGTTTTGGAAAGCACCAATCACTTTATAAACACAAAGGATTGAGCAGTATATTAGGAAGATTGTTGTCTAAAGCTGTTTGAAATAATCTGTTTGAAATCTCACTTACATTCTCCAATAATTTAAGAGAACTACATACTCTTCTACTATAGCTAAAGAACAGAACTTGCTTTCATTTTACAAAATTAAATTTTTGGAGAAGGGTTAACAGGCAATTTTCTACATAGTGTAAAGATTGTTCTTCTGATATTGGCACTTGTAGACTGTTTAGAATTTCCCTGCCAAATGTGCAGTTTCTTGAATGTTTTGAGCTGGGAGAGAATTAATTTTCTTTGCTCCTACTTGTTTTCAGCTTTAAACTTCAATTTGCAAGCATGAAAATAAGTTCTCTCCCCCTTCCCTAAAACGTTAACTTCAAGCACTGGTTCCCGGGATCAAGTTGTAGGCAATTATAATGTTGGCTCCGATTTTGCGGGGGTTCTTCTCGGCCAGACAATGATGTCATTGTAGATACGTTTCTTTGGGAAGATGGGGAGGTTTGCAGAGGTCCAGTCTTCCATCACTGATGTGGATCTCAGCTTCAGACTTTGAGAATGACTTCTCACCTAGATCTCTCCTGCCAGCCCTCCTGGGTTTCCCAATTAGACCACACCCTGTTCCTGACCACCAAGCTCTTCCTCCAGGGAATCTGTCCTGTTGGATTGGTGTGGTTTTTATTTGTTAGCTGACTATCTAGGAGATTCTAAACTTGGTTGGAATAGAGCCCATGCCTCTTTGTAGCCCAAGTCATATCACATTACTTAGCAGAGAGTAGATATTCTGCTGATTATACAATTAGCAATATAGTGTCGTTCTCAAGGGGGACTGTTGAACTAAACATTTTTAAATAAAATTAAATATGAAAGACATTACCAGTAAAATAAAATGTGGAAGTCATTACCAGCTATGTAATTAATAGTGATAAGGTAGCATAATTTACTGTGCATTTTCCCCAAACAACACATAATTTTATAGTTTTCAATTAGTCAGCATGATTAGCTACTCTAAAATTTATCTCCTAAATATTCACACATATCTCAGACATCAGTGGGGACCATTACTGTAGGAAATTAGCTAAGGTTTTCCACTCATCTCAGGTTCTACTAAATTTGGAATATTGAGCTGGGTCCATGTTTCTCAGGGGGGAAAGAAAGATAACAGGGAACCCACTCTGTTCTTAAAAGATCCAGATTACAAATATCAAGTGTTATTTCTGTTTACAGCATTTGTCTTATACCTACATTATCTGTGTGTGTGTGTGTGTGTGTGTGTGTGTGTGTGTGTGTGTGTGTGTGTGTGTGTGTGTTTCACACACACAGTGATCTTCAGGGTCTTGCACATAAAAGAAAGACAGGCAAACATGTATAACAGAAACTAAAACACAACAAAAAACTGTAAAGTAACTTTAAAAAAATTGTTTCAGATATTTGAATAAGCAATTCTAAATCAGACAAAATAGAAAAATGGAAAAATCACCCTTGTTTAATGACAAACCTTGATCAGATAATATCCAAGAAACCAAGGCTCTTGAATTATTTTGTTAACTAAGACAGAAGTACCATTTGAGAGTGATCTGGCTAAATTATTTAATATCTAGCTTCCTTTTTTATCCTCACCCATTATTCACACAATAAAGTTGAAAGGTGCAACTTATAAGATGTATAAGCTTAAAGCACAAAATATCAGAAAATGGGAACAAAACATAATGTATTTGTAAAGTTATGGGATGAAATTGGCAGATGTACAAAGGACTGTGAATGTAGAGCTGAGTACTCAATTACTCAGCTTTTGAAACATGTTGAAGCTGGGCTCGATGATAGCCAAAGTTGAGACTGTGGGTGGAGAGGCGGGACAGCCATCAGATGCCACACTCTGGAAACCGAATTGAGTATTCTTAGGAAGGGGAACACTCATTTTTATTGAGCGCTTGCACTGACTCGATGTAATCAGTTTTGACGTTTTAACTAATTTTAGAGTTTACTAACTACTCATTTTTCAATTTAGCCAAAAACTAATAGCAAGTGTGTTTAGCCAAAGCAGTAAAACTATGAAAAGCAATCCAATTGATAAAACATATAGTTATAGCCTCAAGCATCCCCAAAAGACTGACAGAGTTGAACATGGCCAAAAGTTTTGGTTTAGAAAAATCCTGACTCCATTTCTGTATAATTGTTAGAAGCCTACATATCCCATATCAGCTTCTCATAGTGATGTCTTACTGAATCAGACAAACTGTCTCTTCTAACCACAACCACTTCCCTCCACTTAGCACATACACAGATTAGGCATAAAAGCCACAATTAAAACCTCACATAAAACAAGGAGCTGAGGCTAAAGGGAAGTCTGTGTATGTCTACACATGACAAATGTGTTTGTGTCACATATGTTGGGAAACTTAGTGTGTCTGTCACAACCTTCTGCTTCAATTTCTATCATCGTCTACAGGTTAAGAGCAATATCAGATTATAGCAGACCATGCCCAGTGGGCTCGGGGAAACTGTTTTTTTTCTACTCTGGACACATGCCAATTATGTAGTAAAACTGATATCTTATTTCATTTTTTCCATATTTCTATGTAGAGAGTCTTCTGTAAATTACAAATCAAATTTGTTTGCTTCAACACTACTTATTAATACTTAGAATAAACCCATTCATTTGATAGATACTATCTACTGTTCAAGACCTATGGTTTGAATGTATTATACAAATAAGATCTTTGATCTCATGGAATGAAGACACACACACACACACACACACACACACACACACACATATGTGTAACTGTAATTAAATCCTCTGCAGTATTGGTTTAGCAACATTGAAGAGGTGGATAAAAAGTGGTTTTTTTTGTGAACTTTTGGCCATGTTCAACTCTGTCAGAACTCACCAAAAAAGATCTGCTTGAAAAGGAGGCAAAGATGGCGTGGCAAATATCTTGGTCAACAACATTCTAACTAGCACAGGAAAGAACTGGAAGGGAAATGAACTATTGATTGTGTTTGCAGACAGTCACAGAGGCTCTCTGACTGGCATGGAGGAAAAGAGGACAAGAGCGGAGGATGGAAGAAGAGAGTCCGTGTCCCAGGATTGCACTCCGAATGAGACAGAGATTTTGAAGAGGTAAGTTCTACAAGGATAAGACAAGCAAACTGTGGCTCGAGCAGGTTTGGAAGTGGCTGGGCTGGTTCATCCTATTCTGTCAGGAGCTCACGTTTGGATGTAGTGATTTGACAGTTGCTGATTTGTGAGAAAACTGAGTATTTCATGAGATATGACATGGAACTCTTAAAAAAAATAGATTTATGCTCTAAGGGAAAAGTATCTGAGATCTGGACCCAAAGAAAAATTAAAAAAAAATGGCCCTAATTCATTTATAAAATATTTCTATTTTGTCCTATATGCTAACATGGCATTAAAGTATTGATAAATAAATTAATAGTCTAAGAGTATTTGAGGAAGATAGACATGGAGAGCAAACAGTTCTTTGTGATTCTGTTCATATAGAAAAATATTTACTTTTTGTCCCATACACTGAATTTTATAGTTTCATATTCATCCCACAGATCAGTTCATAGCCTTGCTTGTAGGGAAATAGCACCATCTTGTGGGTAAGAATATAAAATTTTATTAGAAACAGTTTATGAAAATGACACTATAGCACATTTTGCTGCATTATGTAAGGTTTGATTCTTCAGGAAAATTAAACATTTTTAGTGATGTATAGTAATTATGTGCATGTGTGTGGTGCAATATAAGATTTTAACCCTTGTATATTGCACAGAGATTTAAACCAAAGCAATGAAAATATCCACAAATAAACCAGTTTAACCTTCTTTGTGATGAGATTAGTAAAAAGCTGTGGGGCCAATGAGATGGATCAAAGGTAAAAAGTGATTGCTGTCAAAGCATAAGGACCTGAGTTCCAATCCCCAGTAACCTTGTAAAAAGCTGAATGAATGAATGAATGAAGGAAACAATCCCCAGTAACCTTGTAAAAAGCTGAGTGTGATCACTCACACACATTGTCCCAACACATTAGGACAGTGGTTCTCAATCTATGGGTTGAAACGTCTTTGGGGGCTGTGTATCAGATATCCTGCATCTTAGAAGCTCATGTTACAATTCATAACAGTAGCAAAATTACAGGTACAGAGTAGAAACAAAATAATTTTATGGTGGGGGGGGTCACCAGACATTGAGAATTGTATTCAAGGGTCACAGCATTAGTAGCATTGAGAACCATTATTATAGGGAGATTACTGCCTTTTGCTAGTCAAGAGCCTAGGTCCAGGTTTCTGAGAGAAGTTGTCTTATTTCATTCATTCATTCATTCATTCATTCATTCATTCATTCATTCATTCATTCGTTTGTTTTTTGTTTATCCAAGAACTCGCTCTGTATTTATTTATGTATGTATGTATGTATATATGTATGTATGTATGTATGTATGTATATTTGTATGTATGTTTATTCAAGAACTCACTCTTTGTTTATGTTTATTCAAGAACTCACTCTGTAGACCGGGCTGGCCTTGAACTCACAAAGATCTGACTGTGCTACCAATGAGTTTGCCTTAAGGGAGTAAGGAAAGAGAGATAATAAAACAGCCTCAATAGCCTTCTTCTCTGGCTTCCATGCATGTGCAGAGATGCACAGGTGTACACACACACACACACACACACACACACACACGCACACATACCAGTCAGACATGTCTTATACTTTCACACACAGGATAAGTGAGAAGTAACACCACCTCTTTCATATATACAAGGAAGAATCTGTACAACACAACAGGAGGATCGTTAGCAGGAGAAACAGTGATTCCATTCTGAAAGCTGTCTACTGATACGGAAGCTCAGACAAATGATTGCCTTCATTTGTTTTAAAGCTGTACCTGCCAGATACAAACATGATCGTCAAAAGCACTAAGTGTGTCAGGCAGCCGAATAGATCAAATAAAAGTCAAGTCAGCAAATGAGCTCAGGACAACCTCAGGATTCTGAAGGAATTATAATTCAGATCATTGGTAATTTCTGAAGAGAGGAGAAGATTATACATTTATAGATATGATTAAAATATGTGAATTCTATTTCTTAGATTCCTTGCTAGAATTCATTATTTATTTCTAAATTTTAAAAGTTTATGTATGTACAATTTTACCAGGCCCAGTAGAAAATCAAGTAAGCTGTGTCAAATTTGTATTTCTGTTCCGAAGCAACGTATTTCCCAGTGTGAATTTATGTTTTCAAACTCAAGGGCCATTAACATGGGAAAGCATAAAAATAACACATTAAATATAGGAACAGTACTAATAAACCAATTATTTTACTTTTCCAAATTGGGTTTGATAAGTATGCTTAAGGTACTTGATAGTACCTTACCAGCTAGAAAACTGACCAGACAAGAAAGCTTCCTTTCCTCTTATAAATGAACAGAGAAACATGGTATCTAAAGCACTATGTGTTTTTCTGTGGTTAATATTGGTTGTCAACTTGACAGAATCTAGAATCACCTAGAAAACCAATTATGGGCATATCTGTGAAGGAGTTTCTAGATTGGTTGGGGGATGTAGGAAGACCCACCTTAACTGTGTCTGGTATTATGCTGCGGGGTGTGATGCCAGACTAAATAAAACGGCAGTGGTGGCGCACACCTTTAATCCCAGCACTGGAGAGGCACAGCCAGGCAGATCTCTGTGAGTTCGAGGCCAGCCTGGTCTACAAAGTGAGATCCAGGACACTAAAACTACACAGAGAAACCCTACTAACTAACTAACTAACTAACTAACTAACTAACTAACTAAACTAACCAACTAACTAGCTAACTAACTAGCTAGCTAACTAACTAACTGAACAACTAAATGAATGGAGGATGTGAGCTGAGCTCCAGCATTCTCCCTGTGTTTCTATTTCTTGCTCATAGATGACGTGAGATCAGTTGCCTCCATCCCTTCCCACCCTGCCTCCTGCACCACAACGAAGTGTAAAATCTTGAACTGTGTACCTAAATATAGCCCACCTTTCTTACGTTCCTTGGTCAGATTTTTTTTCCTCAAAAATAATGTTATATTTTACATTATTTTTAGGGTTACTGTTTAAGCAAGTCAAATATTAACAAATTTGTTTTTAATGTGGTTTTTGGTTAGTTGGGTAGATAACATTAAAACTTAATACACCATCAAACAGTAAATTATTATAGAAGATACTGGGTACTGTAAAACTAATATTTTATTATTACAAAATGAAACTTGGGTCAGACCATAATTAAAATGTTGGCTGAAGCTTCTTCATTCTGGTGTATGGGAAATGAAAGAGGGCAAGACTGCTGTGGACATAAAACCATCATAAAGTTAGGATCAAATAAACATAATACTGTTTCAGGCTGTTAGCATAACCATGCAAAATAATAAGCAATGCATATCTGAGTTGTCATATAAGCTCATTTATTAGATTTTCATACGTCTATAGAAGATGTGATATTGACTTGAATAAATGCTAATTATCTGCGATGCTAATCTACATATCAAGGGGGCAACTGGAAGATAATTTCTACAATAGTGAGAAGCTGTTGCGTATAGTAGGAGTCTTCATGTCTGGGAAACAGAAAGGATGATGTAAGTGAAAGGTTATGCTATGGGTGAATTAGCAGAGGATACAGAATAAGAGCTAAAGATTTTGCACATCAAATGCTATAAAGGGCCAGTGAGATGGGTCATCAGGGTTAAAAACTTTCCAACAAATCTGAAGACCTAAGTTCCATTCCCTGGAGCTCCATGTTAGAAGAAGAGAACTGAATTCCACAAGTTGTCTTCTAACATTCATACATGCACCATGACACACATGTGTACACATGAACACACACACAAATAAGTACAATAAAATTAAAAGAACATGTTGTCAAATCACTTAGAACCCTTCAAAGGCTGGATGTCATATGGCTTCAGAATACAAGAGTTTGGCATGTATTTCCCCTTAACGTCATCCACAGAATGATACAAAAACATAATATAACCCAAGTAACATTTGAGCTGCCTGAGTTCCAAGACCTTGCTATCTAAAAACATGACCACCACCAAGAAGAGCTTGTAAATCTCAATTGTTTTCAGGTTGAGGATAAACACAAAAGTTGAACCTGAAAGATCTTTGAGTGGCAGAAGCCTCTGAAGAGCACAAAGAGGAATGGGGTCATACTAAAGTTAGAGAAAAAAAAAAAAGCCAGCCTGTTACCCTCACCTCCAAGTTTAAGACAGCTTAAAAATCAGTACTATAACACAAACAACAGATTGCACAGTAACTAGTATCAAATGAATAGAGTGATAAGAATTATGGAAACCAAACCCACCAGTTTTAAATATGGATGTAATAACTGATTTAACAACAGGCCATCTGTGTGCAATAAAATCATTGACAAAGAAGGAAAGACAAGAAATGAAAAAGGAAGTTGCTTGGGAATTTTGAGTTAAATTGGTCATACCTGTTACTACAAAATACATGGCAATTGGAAAAGTTAAAAGTACATCAATGTGAGGAAACCCAGGGTACATCACCTTCTTCAAGTGACCAAGAGTAGCTTTAGCAATAATATGACACACTCAAATATATGATATATTAGACCCCCACACAGCATCACCTGGAAACAAGATGTTTAGTATAGTCGTATAATCTGAATATAACAGTGAAAATACATTTAGATAAAGCTACAGACATTCCTTAATACAACTGGCATCTGATGTAAAATGTAAATGTCACAAAGTCTGAATAGTTCTAGGTGAAAGATGATAACAGGACAAAAGAATGGATGGACAATTCAATTTTTATTTAATGTTTGACAAAAGGAAAAAAGTACATAGCTTTGGAAAGATTTCTTATACATTAATAGCATGACTATTATTGTATTGATGTTAAGTTTCAGGGGCATCATGATGTTACTACAGTTATGTAGGAAAATGTCCTTGTTCTAGGGGACAATATTTTAAGGTTTTATGACAATTAGGGATAAAAATATCATACTTGCTACTTACTATAGATTTTTTTTCTGAAAATGATAGAAAGTTAAATCTACATATGTTTATGTCTATATTTATATATTACCTATATCTATGTAAATGTTTGAAGAAATGTTTGACAATTGGCAAATCTATATGAAAAGTATATGGGAGTTTTAGAAACTATTTTTATAAATTTGAAAAATTTAAACAGAGAAATAGTTTGAATATAACTTCATCTTATATATTTTTTTCAAACAGCCTTATGGTTTTATTGTTGTTTATTTTTGAGATAGCAATTTAAATACAGCATTTCTCCCTTCCCTTTCTTCTCTCCAACTGCTCCTATACCCCTTCACTGCTGGCTTCGAAATCATGGCCACTTTTTTCACTAATTGCCATTGCATGATATATGTATTGTATATTCCTAAACATACATATTCCTAAACATAACCTGTTGGTGCAAATGATGATACTTATCTGTATCTTTTCAGGAATGAATGTTTGACATTGCACAACCAGTTGGTGTGCTCTTCCCTGAGGGCGATTACCTCTTCCGCTCTCAGCTTTCCTCAGTTACCTCAGTTCTTAGTGTTGGGTTGCGCCCCCATGGGCTTTTTCCTGTGCAGTTTGGCGTGTCCTTTGGTATCCTCCTTGTTCAGGTCGTGTTTGGGTGGTCCTGTTGTTGAGACATTACAGATATATCGTCTAGGCACACCAGCTGAGAATATTTAATGAGTGCCATGTGATCACCTGAGCACAGAGTTAAAATGTGATGAGGAGATCACATCATCCTGACTGAGCATGAAATCTCTGTCCTTGGCACATTACTATACTGTACTGGCAGCCTAATCCCTTTTCAAGCTAACTTGGTGACATCTTTTTAATCCCCTGGTCACAGTCTCTTCTCATATAAAGTTATGACTTACTGAGCAACTGGATTTTTTACATTTATTTTGATTATCATATAAATCATATATAATTTTCATATAATTAGATATAATTTATACAACACATCAATATGTCAATTATATATCAATAATTATTGATTTTACATATATATATATATATATATATATATATATATATATATATATTTTTTTGAGACAGGGTTTTCTGCAGTCCAGGTTGGCCTCAGATTTCCTGTGTAGCTAGGGTCCTCTTCAAGTTCTGACCCTCCCCCATGTGCTGGTGGGATTTGTCCATATTTTTGTAAGTTTTAAAATACTTAAAAAAATTTGATAAAAAAAGATGTTTAGACTAGCTGGATTTTTAGCCTTCAGCTAAAATCTAAGATTCTTGATTGGTGAAAAATTTTCACTTTCTGTTTTTCATGTTTTTTTTTTCCTTCTGATAGTGTCTACCTATGTATTCCAGGCTGCCTTCAAGCTTGAGATTTTCCTGCCTTGGCATTTTCTGGCACAGGATTATAACCACTATGTCTAACAAGATTTTACACATTCTATATGTCCAGTTCTGAAGAATAAAATCTGTTATTCAAACTTAAAACAGCATTATAATACAACCTAGGATACCATTAATATATTAGACTGTTTTTTAAGGAATAAATTAAATGGTATGTTCTGATAGTTTGTATATGTTCCACTTCTTGGTGTACTAAAATCTTTCACCATTCCATAAATTTTATTTTCTGTTATATTTTGAAATTTGAGTTTGAGAATATCAATACAACTAAATCATAGTTATAAATAGGATTTAAAAAAATTCTTCAAATAATCCAATGACTTCAAAATTATTTCAGCTTATGTGTCTGGTTCCTCTCTTCTATTACTATTCTTAGCCCATATCTACACATGGCAATAAAAGTCTCATTCATTGGCAGAGGGAACTCTGAGACTGTTTTCTTTGCTTCTCTTGTTAGGATAGCCATTTCCTTTGCATTAATTAAATTAAGCAAAACTCCTTTACAGTCTACCTGACTCAAACAGAGGATGCATTGAGGAATAGTACAAGGAGAGGAAAGGAAGATATAAACAAGAAAAGCATTCAACAAATGCAACGAAGAATGGGCATAATGTTTGGGGCAATAAACTGAAATAATTTTGAGTGTGGAAATTCTATGTACTATTTAAAGACACTCTGATTTATGGGACTGTATTGGCTAAAGTTCAACGTCATCTTCTCAGTATACGAAGGTCTTATCCAGTTAAACTCCATGCAGCAAGTATTGAAGAAAATAAGAATGTACTTGGTTTCTACTAGGAAGTAATTACGTGATAGGCTTGCTATCCACGTTAAAGATACATACCTCTGTGTTGTTTGCACTGCAGAAGCACTTCATGAAAATATTCTCTATTATATGCTTCTGCCATGCATATCTCTTGCACTTTTTAGCATAGTAAATATAACATAATAAGTTCAATTAATTGTTTTTTTGTTTTTGTTTTTTCAGAATCAGCTATGTAGCAATCATGGTGCTAGACAAATGTATATAATATATCTGAAATGATTTTATTAGTTAAGCAGAGCTGGAAAAATACATATGTGTGTATACACACACACACACACACACACACACACACACACACACACACACACACACATATATATTCAACTTGTTCATGTTTTTACTTCACTACCCAGCACGGTATAGATTCTCCCTGACTCTCCACTCCTCACCAGAAGTGCTCTCTAGAGCATGGTGAAAAACATCAGTTTGACAAGGGAAAGCCTTTACCATCCTGTTGGAGCAAAACCAGAATTGAGACATACTGATTATTATGCCTTCTCATCCAACACAGGTCTACTGTTTTCAACTATTTCGTGGGTCTCTGTAATTATGTGTGTTTTACTCACATGTTTAGGGAGAAGAGGCACAGTTCTTTGATGGCAGCTTGGCCCTTGCTGTTCTTAGATGTCCCCTCCTACCTCCATTTGGAGGTGGCAAGCCAAGGGCCACTCCTGCTGGCCGTAACGGAACCTACTTACTTTTTTCTTTCCCTGAGAAAGACATAATCAGTTTTAGAAAAAAAAATTAATAACAATGTGAGCAACATATAGAGCATGGATTATCAA